GACAAATATGGTGCTTTTGAATATCACTGGGTGATCCCAAATATTTGAACAGAGAGAAAGAAGAAGGAAGCCCAAAGAATATTCAGGGCCACAGTTTTGAGGCAGCAAAAACTATTCTGACTATAGTATAGAAATTCCTTAATATGGTAGGGGGAGAATCCATTATTTTGTGCAACAGAGGCCAGGAATCTAGGCTTAGAGTAACAAAAGGCATCCATCTTCTAATGTATTTCCTAACTTCAATTAAATTTCGAATCAAGTTAGAATTCATGCTGTGTCATGTGGGGAGGGGGGGCAGAAGGGGCACTGTGGATTTTCATACTTTCTCAGAACATGTGTATTAATAGAACCACAGCCTAAAAAGCATTCGTGAAGAAATGCTTCACAGCTGCTGCTTATTAGCATTAGCACAAATCTTACAAAGCAAATAATAAGCAGACTTGTTTCCATAATATTTAACTTACAGCAATGAATAAAAGTGGTGGGAAGAGAGGAAAAATGTCTCGTTTCCAAAAATAAAATAAAAAAACCTAATTGCCCACAAACGGTTGAGTACAATCCAACAGCAACATGTAAAAAGAAATCGGATGGATTTGTTCATATCCTTATTTTTTGCCTTCCCCTCCACCAATCTGTGGATTTATATACGTTGTTCTTACACTTGGAAGTTTTTGTTTTTACAGTCATAGTCATTAGGACATTCCATTGGTGATGCTAAGATTTATTTATTTCAAACATTTTTATAGCCGCCCATCTTCAACCAACTTCTGAGCAGCTTATGATCAAGAACAAAAACCACAAATACACACTAAAACCCAAAAACAATAATCCCAAAACTGAAGAACTTGGCACCACAGCTACTCTTCCCTGATACAGCCCACACATTCTCCCCTGCTGTAACTTCACCCTGTCTACACAGTATCAGCCCATTATCCTGGCTGAATGTCATTTGTAAATGAGTTTCCTTGGGCTGGATCTAGTCATGTTTTGAGCAGATCCAGGAAAATCAATCCACGAGAGCCAGTTGTCCTCTACTTTTTACTAATCTCCAACTCTCGACAACCTCAATCCATTTATCTGCTGCTGCTGAATATTTTCAGCAATAACTAGAGGGCCAAGCTATCTTCATCCCTGCACTGGACTGTTAATAATCCCAAAGATTAAGATTTTGCAAAATAAAATAAAAAAACCAAAATGTAGACATTTCTCCTCTCTTCCCACCACTTGTATTCATTGCTGTAAGTTAAATATTATGGAAACAACTCTGTTTATTATTTGCTTTGTAAGATTTGTGCTAATAAGTAGCAGCAGTACTATCAAATTTGAACTATATAAAGAAGAACTTTACTATATAGAGTAATTTGCCCTGTGGGAATATTTGGAAGGGTTAGACTAGATTGGGTGTACTCTGACCAAATAGCTGCTAGGGTGGATATGGCCGCTCCCAAGACATCCATTTACAGAACAGTAAAAGGGTGAGGTTGTTCCCCATTACAGGTAGCCCTTGGTTAACAACTGTTTGAAATTATGACCCCTCCCCAAAGTTACTTATGACCCATCCTCCAAGTTATAACTGCTGTATCTTCTGTGTGGACATGTGAACACACTGCAGATTCTTAGCAACTAGCTAGCGTTTACAGCTGGTTGCAGCATCCCACAGTCACAGGACCACGATTGCAACATTTTTTGCTTGCATCTAGCAAAAAAAAACCCTTACCCATCTGGGAAAATGGATTTGCTTAATGACCACACCGTTTGCTTAACCATGGTGACTTGAGACTTTACGACTCCCATTAAAAACAATCATAAAATCAAATCGGGTCACAGGGTGAGCTGTGAATGACTGCAATGACTTATTATGGAAAATCCAGGCTCAGTTGTGGTTGTTAAGTGACTACCTGTATCTGCTCTGGTCTCCCAGGTCCAAACAAATTACTGGGCTGCTCCAACCGATTTATGCTCCCCCTTTCCTTTGTTACTTTTACTAAGTAGAAAAGCAACAGAAAAATTAAAAATACATCCATAACATTGGAACCCCTAATTTATCTGTGCTGTTATTTATTGTTACGTTGTTAATATTATTGCAAATTATGCTACAGAATCTTTGCACTAAGGTGCAGGTTGAAGTGAACATTCAAAGGTTGGGGCTTGATATAGTGATTAATTTGAAAAAGGGCATTATAGGAAAAAAGCATTCAGGTAGCCTCCATCCATCCATCCATCCATTCATTCATTCATTCCTTTTTGTGTTTTGAAGAAGGTCTACCCATCTTTTTGGAATTAAATACTGATGCTTAAAGCTGGGGCTGTTTTATCATTTGCTGGCTTCTAATTTAATGCTTTATCATTAAAATAGCCCAAGTAAAAGTAAACATGTGAACGGGCATGGCGTCTGGCAGACATGGCAGAAGTGCCACTGAGAGCACCGATGCCTTGTAGACATTTGAGGACATGTGGCTTCCACTCTTTACCGCACTGCTGCACAGGTAGTCCACAAATCCCAGATGGGAAGTTCAAATCCAGGCATTTATTTTCCTGATTTCAATAGAACAAAGATAAACAGCCCAAACTACGAAATGATGGGAAATAATTCAATTAATTGGCACTGTGGTGGCATCACAAATGATATATCCCTGCCTGTGGCTTGGCAACAAAATTCAGTGGGAAGTAAAATGCCTTTAAAACCTGTTGCAGACAAGCACTTTGGATACAGCAGTTCTCCCATAAGAATTAAATGAAACCTAGACTGATGAAATTAATTGCACTGTAAAACACATACCTGTAATCCATGCCTGTTTGGAAGACATCAAAACCTGCCTTGATTGGCTGTAGCCTGGAGTAAAGCAAAGGGATAACCAACAAACAGCCGTGTATTTTGTACAGCCTGTGTCTGAAACAGAAGCTAATTTAAAAAGGAATGACAAGGTTTTTCTGACATTTCAGCACCATTCATTCACAAGAAGGGGTCTGACAAGCATTATCTAATAACTTAACAAATGCCTTTGACAAGGTTTGCAAGGGGAATGGGAGGAACTGAGATAATTGCTATTTTGTTTCTAGATTTTCAGGCTCCTAAAATGTCTGTCCATTCATAACATGCAAGAACATGGCACATGCTAGCAATAACTCATTAAAGCCTTCCTTTTTTTAGATATTTCCTCAGCACAAAATCATAAAATCATCTTCACCCTCTGATTGTTGCACCAATCTTCACAGTTTTTAAAATAGCACTATTAGATCTCTTGAAGAGCTGTGGTGGCGCAGTGGTTAGAATGCAGTATTGCAGGCTAACTCTGCCAACTGCCGGGAGTTCAATTCTCACCGATTCTCAAGGCTGACTCAGCCTTCTACCTTCTGAGGCCGGTAAAATGAGGACCCAGATTGTTGGGGCTTGATAGAGGCTGACTCTGTAAGCTGTTCAAATAGTGCTACATAGCACGATGGGGTGGTATAGAAGTCTAAATGCTATTGCTATTGTTACCTGTACAAAATCAGAATTTTATATTAAAAATGCAGAAGTTTAGTCTGGCAGTTTACTTTGGGAAAACAAACAGCTTTCATAAGGAAAGCAAGATAGATGTTTCTTACTCTTGAGAATTACTAAACAAGAATACTCACCTGCAAACAGAGTTAAACCATTTTGATGCATATAAGATAGACTGAATCTGTCCCTTCACCAGTCCTCTTTAATGCATTTGGCGGAACATTATTTTATTCTGTACTATAGCTTATACCATTTCAAGGAAAACTAGTTATTCAGGTTCCATTTGTAATAATAGAAATGTAGCCTGGTATATTTCCTTTATTTTGCATTCAAGAGTCACAGATGAATGGATAGTCTGAAGACGGATCTAGTGCTGCTCACTTCAGTGGAACAAGACTAATGAACTGATCGATAAACAAACACATAATACCATCTTCTGCTGTAAGGATAATTGCAGCACGGGTGGTCCTTGTCTTACAACTGGCAAATGGGACCAGAATTTCCATTGCTAAACAAGGTGGTTGTTAAGGGAGTTATTCCGGATTTTACGACCTTTTTTGGCACAGTTAAGCTAATTACTGCAGTTGTTAAGTGAATTAAGCAGATTCAGTTTCCCCCATTGACAGTGCTTGTCTGAAGCTGGCTGGGAACGTCATAAATGTGATCACATGATCCCAGGATGCTGCAGCCATCATAAATGTATCCCAGTTGCCCTGTGCCTGAATTTTGATCACGTGACCATGGGATGTTGTGACAGCTGTAAATGCAGGGACCAGTTGAAGGTCCCCCCTTTTTTTTCAGTGCTGTTGTAACTTTGAATGGTCACTAAACAAATGGCTGTAAGTTGAGGACTATCTGCAGTTTCACTCCTAGTCCACAGGGCAAGGGAGGCAAATACACCAAAGTCTGACAATGACTAATTGTAAAAGTTATCTTTCCATAGATGTACAAACTGGATCCAGCAGGGTGATTTCCTAGGTTATTTTTCTTAGCATGTTGTGTGAATCAAGCCATGTGCATGGTTGATAATGTATTCAACAAGCCCTGATTAAGAAAACCATGCCTTATGGTGATATGTGAACCTGGGTTATTCAGCTGCATCCATCTCAAAGTTAAGCCACTTTGATTAGTACACCAGTCTTTCCCCTATTCTATGACTAATGACTGAGTGCTCAAAGCCATAAATCCAGCTTATGATATTTTGTGCATCTGCAATTTTATTTTAAGGACATCTAAATGGCACCGCTCTGTAGGTATTTACAGAGGTAGTCATTTTATACGCTAGGTTCATGCACAGAAATCCAATACGTATTTCTACAGAACTTACTCCCCTCAGCTCAATCGACTTTATTTTCAAATAAGCATGCATAGAATTGTACAGTGACACAATAGGTGGGAAAGACTGTACAGCTGGCAGCCGCTATGAACTATGAGTGAATGGCAACAGAGGTTTTGTGATGCAGCTCAGATTTGTGAGTCATTCATTGGTTGAAAAAAAAAGGAAATAAAATCTAAATTCCGAGGAACCGATACAGCCTTTTAATGTAGAATAAGCTGACATAATGAGGTGGAGATCTTGGTTAATATAAAAAATTACAAGGATTCATCAAAATGGGAGACATCTTAATGAAAATTGAATGCTTGCTGAAGAGGAACAATATTTACATATGGTTATTTCAATGAAACAGAACAAAAAATTGCACTTAAAGGAGAAACCAGGTCCCCAGTGAGGAGTAAGAATGAGACAAGATTGTCATGGGATTTGCAGAATTCAACAGTACAATTATATTCAACTCTATATACACTCAGATGAAACAGAACACCTCTGTCTTAAAAAGCAAGGATTGTGCTTAACTGTACAACTGTACAAATATCTTGTTCGTGTGTTCACAAATTTTCAAGTTAAAGGAATTGATCCTCTCTGCCACTTCAGACTCACAGTGCCATAGACCGAACTTAAGCACTTACTTCTTCTGTTAAGTTTATTCATATATGTATTTCAGTTTAATTGACCAAACCTCGGAGGACTTGACCTGATTTAAATGTGCTTACAAAAATAGTTTAAAACCCTAGAGATCAAGATATATAGATATATATATACCTCTAGTCTAATGAGAAGGTGATCTGCACATAATAAGACTGTTCTGAAAGACAACTGCTCGTTTGCATGTGTGAATCTCCTGTGGGACCCATCCTGCAATTATGCTAACAGGATGCCAAGTTATGGACCTCCAAGGAATAGCAGTTGTGGATATGCTGACATTGTGCATGTGACAAGTTCCAAGTGCCCTCTTTCCCTCTCTGTAAAACATCTGATGGATGTAGAAAGGTCCATGCCTTGCAGCAACAAGATGTGAGTTAATAACAATAAGAATATATGTATCTGTTCTATTTTTGGACACCAATGCTCTGAATATTTCCAGGGTATCTGAGATTATGTTAATCTAAACAAAGAAGTTAGAATATACGTAATGTAAAGAATCTGGGATACATTTCCATGATTAGGGCAAAACACTATCTTTTTTCTCTGAGATGTACTTACACACAAGTTTAAAATCAAGAAAAACAAGATTATATTCAATTTTTCCAATTTATCACAATTTATCACAAAGATCTTGTTCTCCCCTTCTCCCACAGCTGATCAGATGTAGCATGTAGATGGAATAATGGCAGATATGTAGTACAACTGTATAGGATAACACATCTATTGATGATTAATGCAATTTTTGTAACTTCAGCCACAAGACAAAATTAATGCTAACTTATGTTTCTTCCAGAGTGAACATCCTTGTGAGTCTACAATGCAGCTTTTAATTATTTTACCCTTCTTCCTGACACATTATCTGTGCGGGTTTCCTCCCCCCTCCAAATACACAATAAAATATTTGCAGAATAGAACCAGATCAGGAAGGAAAATTACTGGTTAATCTGTTTGTTTGGTATGTAAGCTTCCTAACCAAAACTCTTGACGATAGGACTCTCACTTGTTGTTCTCGTATCAATCCACAAACTGTCTTTCACATATGAAGAGTAGAAGTACCATCTGCAACAGGAAGGTTTGATTAGAGAGGAAGCTATAAGCCCATGCAGTATTTGATTAAAGGTGAGATATCACTCAAGGGAAAGTTGCTCTTTAGAGTGTAATGATGCTATCACAGCTCAAGACTGGAGTTGATTAACATCAAATCCTCTAGTGACAAAACAGGATACTTCAGATAAGAGAGAGAAATATTCCTGCTCCTACTGAAATAATTCAGGTTTTCAAAATAGTGCAAACCATGGGACAGATTTTCCATAATATCATAGTATGACATAATACGTTCAGTTAACTGGGTGCAAATTTGTAGGTTTCCTGGCACTTATCTAATCAACCAATGATCACTGTGCATATATCAAATAAGTAACTGCAGTGTATTATTTTAGTTAACCAAATCATATCAAAGTTAGGTACAAAATGTGGCTCAGAGTGGACCTTTAGTAAGAGGGGATTACACTTCGCAAATTTGACTGCTAAGCAGTCACTGGTCAGCAATAAGCATTTTTTCTATTACGAGTTGCAAAGAATATACATCCTTTGAGTTACTTCAAGCTTGGAGCAGACAGATATTATTCACTTCAAAGCTTTGTGAGATATGTAACCTCTTGCTCCTGGCAGTGTTTCTCTGTACATTCAGGGCAGCTTTGGTGAAGTGGAAAGCTTGGTAACAACCCAAAGAATGACTAGCTGCTAGCCAGCTAACCACCAAAGAATGACTAAGCAAATCAGCACCTGTGATTTCCGTTACAGTGACGTTAACATTTGTCACATAACATTTTCAAAGCGTAGGGAGCAGTTCTATGAACTATGAATATTTGGCATGACCTTTCATCTAGAACCTATGCAGCCAGGAGTTAAAAGTCAAATGCTGAGCAATTGTGAGTTTCTACATTACTTCCTAGACTTTGGGTGAAGACTGCAGAAGGGACATTTCCTCATTATTTTCAACTGGAGGACTGTTGTACACTTATCATGTTATAAAATGGTCTGTTGCCAATATGCTTCTAGATATCCAAAATCACATGAAAGAAACCTTCATGCTGATGATTATGTTGGAAAGCATATGACTCAGGGTAGCAAGGAAGAACCTGGGGAACAGCATTCAGTAACTGTTCAGTAGGTTGACAGACTGAATGCCATGTAAACATGATTAAATTCACAGTGTATTGCCAAATAAATGCACAATTTTTATCTTTGTATTCCCAGAATATTCTGTGATCCTCCGAGGTCACTGGGCAATATAAAGATGGGGTCTCCTGTTAAAGGAATGCATGTGTGGCTACACAAAAGAATTAGTTTACGAGTTTGTTCGCAGATGCATGAATGTTGCTAGACAACAATTGATGATTGGCAGCTAAATGCATTCATTGATTTCAGTTGAAAACCACTCTGAGGTGATAGGAGAGTGCTCTGATTTTGACTGCAAATTCATAAGGCAAATCACCTGACTTGGTCAAACACAACGGCCAGACTGATGCGAAGCAGCTCAGAAGAAGATTTCCTAAAGCTTTTCTAATTTCTTCTTTTCTAAAAAGTAGGGAAGATCTTTTGGCGTACGTTTTTTTCTTTTATGATTACAAAAATAGGACTTAATAATATTAACAACAATATGAATAATACAAAATAATTATAATTGCATACTTTTTTTGGAAAAGTATTAACACAAATCAGCAAAAACACATCACCCCTCCCCCCTTCATTGAATTAAAATGGTGAAGATGAACGCTTTTATAAAGGCCAAGTTCTCAGTACAAAAGAGAGGAGAAGCAGCTTGAAAATGGATTATCTTTCCATAAGGCAACTTGTTACCTTTTATCTACTTCCTTGATTTATATTGGGATTGTTTGGTCTTTTAAAAAAGCATCAGAACTTGGCTTGTTTCAATTTATCGATGTGATAACAGAGTTTGAGTGCTGGTCCCAGCTTCAGACCCAAATATTTCATGATCATGTCGCTTTTCAGTAGCAAGAGAGCATTGCCATCAATCTCCTAATACAAAAAGAACAACAGAAGACGGAATGAAAAGCATAAATCATAATTTGGAACTGTGTTTGCAGAAGAAATAAAACAATTTACTGCAATGCTGTGGAAAGAATTGGCCTGCACGTCTCTGACAATGCTAAACATGTTTGAGAAATTCAATAAAGTAGGACCTCAATTCCTAAATGTTCTACCATTCCAAAATTGGATCTATTTAGCTGAAGTGCTGTGAATTTATTTATTTAAAATACATTTATGCAACCTGCCATGCCATGCAACATCTGGCAGAATACAACATTAAAATGCCTTCCATAAAAATGTAAATTAACACAAAAGTAATAATGAGATAACTGAATAATGAAACACCACCACCATGAAAAGACAAGCACTAAACATCTGAGCATAAGCCTAAACTGAAGTCAAGTTTCAGAAGCAGCTGTTGAATTTCTTGATGGTCCACTTTCCATCAAGTCCTCCCAAGCACAGACCCAGTGTCAGACATGTTAGTGTTGGCTTGCCATCAGAAGTTGTGGGTGCTTCATCACTGGAGGTTTTTAAGAAGAGACTGGATAGTCACTTGTCTGAAATGATTTAGGGTCTCCTGCTTGAGCAGGGGGCTGGACTAGAAGCTCTATTCTGATTGATTGATTGATTGATTGATTGATTGTGCTTGGAGGACTACATAGTCACAAGGAAATATGATCTTTCACAAAAGAAGCAGCAGCAACTACAAACTGGTGAATCAGGTGACAGGGATGGGAACATCTACAAGACTTATATACCACTTCACAGTGCTTTACAGCCCTCTCTAAGCGGTTTACAGAGTCAGCCTATTGCCCCCAACAATCTAGGTCCTCATTTTACTGACCTCGGAAGGATGGAAGGCTGAGTCAATGTTGAGCCAGCAAGAGTCGAACTCCTGGCAGTTGGCAGAATTAGCCTGCAATACTGCAGGCTAACCACTGTGCCAGCATGGCTCTTATGCTCATAGTCAGATGATTATGAATGGCCAAAAACCTAGTTCAACTATGAACTATATAAGCTGCCGGTTACTGGGTCTTTGCAGGAGATGTCAAAAAAGTCAAGATGGCAGCCTTGACTGCACTACTGAGCCTCGGTCTCTTTATTTATATGTCCTGTGTTTACAATCAGATAAAAGGGATGGAGATTTCATGGCTGTCATTTTGACATCATTGCCAAACATGCCTGGCCACTAACAATAAAATAGCTGAGGAGCTTCTATTAAAGTTGAAAGAATTTGGGGTCAATATTCATAGTGCAAAAATTATCCTCTTCATGAAATGGGAGGTTGCAACCACCTAGTAAAAACAGGAAGGACAAGTTAGTCCAGAGCCCAGGCCCAGAGACACAAACAAGTTCCCACAACCAGGAGGATCGTGCGTTGTCCTAAAGCCCCATATTTCTTGTAAAGAGAATGTATTCCTCAGATGCTTCTCTCCATGATTCACTTGTCGGGGTCTCTTTCATTAAGGGTATATTGCATCAGCTGAAAAAGCTAGAGTGCATTGCAATTCAAAGTATGGCTAAATAACATCCAGCAATCTAGGGTTAATGTAAAAAGCTCCAGAGAATTTTGTAAAGCAGAAACAGCACTCCAGGCAGTGATTGAGTATATATTCTTCCATCACAGGCTTGGTTTGGTTATAGAGCTGAACTATATTAATCATTTCAGGGATGGTTTATAATGGCCACTGGAGCTCATAACATGCACTAGCTTCTCAAAGTCTGTTGTGAGCCTGCAAAAGTATAAAGCAACTGGAAACATTTCATGTTGCTTTATTACAATCTAATCCTGTGAACACTGACTGTCAGGTTTAATATTTCAAGAGTGGTGTAAAGCTCTCTGAAAGACCCACTAACCAATGCAAACAAGCTCTAAATCACAAGGCTGACTTTGCTGTGGCTTCTTAAAGTGTAAAACATTCTGCTTGGTAATTGAACAGAAATGGAAGGATTGCTTTTGCCATCTTTTTTTTTCCTTTGGCTTTTTTTTAAAAAACAACAACTGGGAAAGCAAATTTATTCTGCCCAGCAGTACAACCACTTTATTAAGGTAAGAGGTAAGCTCACTTCTGGATAGGCATCGCGGCATGACCGGCACAGGAAGACGGGGTCCGTCTTCCACGTTCAATTTTTCTCCGCTGGGGACCCTAAAAAAGGTTGAAAGTCACCCCAGAGATGCGACGAAGAAGTAGGGGACCCTCATTGATCATGGAGAGGCTACACCGGTTTGGAAGCCCTCCAAATCGGTGGGGGAAAGGCTGGCTACACTTCTGTGGCCAGTCAGAAGCTGCTGACAACCAAAGAAAATAAGCACTAACAAGCAACTTGTGAGCAATGTGGATGGAACTAGATGAGACTTTATCCTCTATGACTTTAAGACTTTTTTCCTGGAAAAAAATGCCCAAAGCAAAGAATCCTCCCCGAAGAGAGAGGAAAGGGGAATTTCTGCCCTATTCCCTCAGGAAAAGAAAAGTGGTGAACTAATTGTTTGGGGGAAAAACAGAGAAAATCACAAGATTAATTTGGAACCAATACAGATATATAGCTTTGAAATTTGGGGACTAAAAGTATTTTTGAGATTTTTTTTAGAAAAGAGACTTGAAAAGTTTGTAATATAAGTTTGGATTTAAAAAGCTGGAAGACAGCATTAATGACATCTAGTGGAGAACTATGGCACTACAATTTATTATTAAAGGAACTTGGCTTGAAGCCCAGACTTAGATAAGACTTTGGTTGTCCTTTGGTTGTCCTTTCACTTTTGAAGATTGCATCTGGAAAAGTCGGGGGTCCTCTTGGGCTGCTTCTTTGTTGTTCTGGGAAACTTTCACTTTTGCAGACTGCAGCTGGGAAAAGGGGAAAAAACTATTGGGCTGCTTATCTGTGTTGGGGACCTTATTGGACTATAAAGATTACATACAAAACAAAATGAGTGTTCCATACTTAGCCTTAAATGGTAAAAAAAATCATCTTTAACACCTGTTTCCGAAGTTCCAGCTTGATATACCAACAAGAAAATGTTAATGAATCTCAGAAAGAAATTATTTCTATGTTGAAATCAATCCAATAGACAATTGTTTTATTTCATGATGAGACTAAAAATAATGCAAATGAGATAAAAGAACAATTTTCTAATCTAAACTTACAAATTCAGACAATGACTACAAAGAAGGAACTAGTAACTCAGAAAACAGAAGGAAAATTAGAAGAAACGGATCGAAAGATGGAGGACCTAAAGGAAGGAATTAACAGATAGATACAGACAAATGAAAAATTAGAAGATGCAGTGGTAACACCGGAAATTGAAAAAATATATTACTTGTCAAGATCTTAGAACACATTTGAGGATAAGGAAGAAGAGCTGATCAAATGGATGATAAAGGTGTTAGGAGAAATGCTGAATATTGACAAACAAGAAATAAAAAGAAAAACTGAAGGAGAAAGATGCAGGCTGTTTAATGAATATAAATGGGTTATATAAAATACTTCAGTCAAATTCTCTTCCTCATTCTAAACAATATATACAAAAACAGAGGAAGAATTACTTGATGATTCAAATGTACTGACTTGGAAAATTATTTGGCAAAGTAAGAAAGATAGAGTAAGACTGGAAAAAATAGAGGTTTTGACCTATGTTTGAATATGATTTAGAAAATAGATAACTGTTAGAAATAAAAGTATTATTACAATTAGAAGGATAGGATTTGTAACTAGAATATTATATTTTGTTATAAGATGAGAAATATTCTAAAAATTCTAAAAGGGTTTAAATAAGGGAAGCCTTTGATTACCCAAATATAATTTATTATGAGAAAATTATAAGTGATAGAGATACTTTGAATATTGGGGGGGGGGAAATTAAAATTTAAAAAAAGCTGGAAAAACAGGATATTGATTGAACAAATGGATTTTAAGTGCTGTTAGAAGAAAAGTCAAATGCAATTGAGATATGTTTTGGCTAGAAAAGATATTATAAACTGACATTATCGATATTATGTACAATTCCAGAAATGTGATGAAGATGTCTATATTTAATTGTATATGTATTAACAGTAACAAGAATTGTATTTGCCCAGTGTGGAAAAATGCATACCACCGGAAGAAGAGAGGATCAAGAAAGCACTGGATGGTGTAGTATTGGAACTAGACTGAGAAAGTTAATATGTACCATTGAATTACCAATGGACCCAGACAACACGTTGTTTATTAAGTACTTATGATTGTAAAATTTAGAAAATTAATAAAATATTTTTTTAAAAAAGTAAGGGGTAAGCTAATTGGAAATAAAGCTAAAATAATCTATACAAAGATGGTGTTAAGAAATACAAATGCTTTCAGTTCTATGCATCATTGGAGGAGGTAGATCCATTTCTGAATAAACAGGTTAAATCTGTCTTCATTCAAAGACTGCACTTTCTTTTCTGTATTAATTTTTTGATCATGAATCAGAATTCAGTGAGAATTCTGTTGCATCAAATCTCACTTTTGGATTGGCTTTATTTGTTAATTAGCCAGATGGCTTTGATTTTAACTGTACCCCTGAACTCCGTTTCCACACTCAAACACAATTTAAGTACAGCGTATTGAACAGACCACAAGCAATTGAGTTTATACAATATACTAACTAAGCTATAAATCTTGGCTTAGAAACAACCAGGGCAGAATTTACATAACTTAAGCTGCAACCAAAAAATGCCTGTTGTGCTCAGCCAATATTTAAGTCCAGCCCAAACTTTCCTTATATTTTTCTATATCTCCTTGAAATTGCATAGATTGGCCCAGCTCGTAAGGAGCATCTATGTAGCGATTTGGTGAAGATCAGCCATCCCAGAGTAATGAAGCATGCCTTAAGATACAGTGTTGAAGTTACTGATATTGTTTTCAGTAAATACATTACTGATCTCTCTTTGTTGTGATAAGTTACATTAATAATTCTTCTCATTGGACAGTGGGGGCATGTCACAGCCAAATTAGCTGAATGCAAGGAAAGGAAGTCAGGAGCTGGGAATGTCAGTGGCATTCAGGACATCAATTTAAATGATGCACCTGCTCTTTAAAATGATTTAACGTGCTGAAAACTGTGGTTAAGGTTAATGGAGTAATCACTTGTCTCTCACCTCTGGTGTCTTCTTGTTAATCCAGTTTAGCTATGAAGGTTAACAATTGCTTAGAAATGAGTAATTCAAAGACATAATTGAGCTGAATACGATGATAGTTTTAATCAACCACTAGACCTCTTGTAGGCTTCCCTGTGAAGCTGACAGAATTATAAGCAGGAGGGGAGGGAGTGCTGGGGTGGGGGGAAGGATTTAAAACTGATGCACCTTTGAATTCTCATCTTTCTTACAAAGGATTGTTGTTCTACAAAAACACTAGCAAGCCTAGTTGTTGGATAATCTTCTGACTGAAAATGAAAAACCCAGCAAGGTCAGTTCCACTAGTCTAGCTCTTCAACAGACTTTTTCCCACAGTGACTGGAATGGTATTTCAGGGGAGTACACAAGAAAATGGTTCTGCCACTCAGTTCTCTTGCAATTGACCCTCAGTGGCAGGCTGCCTGGCCATGGAGTCCCTGTTCAGTTGTAGCACTAACAATGAGCTTTAGAATCATCCTCTCTGAATCCATCCAAGCCCCACCTCAGGCTCTCTAAGATATGATTGCCATCAAGTTGTATGTGAGATCCGGGTTCAGGGTTTCTCAATCTTGGCTACTTGAAGATGTGTGGACTTCAACTCCCAGAATTCCCCAGCCAGCCATCTTGAACTTCACCCATCTTCAAGTTGCCAAGGTTGAGAAACACTGCCCTAGATTAATTGTATTTGCCTGGAGGAAGACTCACTTGGACTAATTTTTGTCAGCTGCCAAACCATTTCAATTTACGTTGGTTCAAGTACAGACCAAAGCCATTTGCTAGAAGGTTAAATTTGGATACTGTCATTTATTGCAGAAAGCCTTCTTACGTACATGTTTCCTGAAGAGTTCCACGTGGGGTCCTAACGCATGAGGATCCGCATCTTTAACAAACCATACCACATCATCAACAGTCCAGGTCAAAGGATTTTTGCTTGTGGGTCTTGTTGCATCCTGTCTGTCTGGAGATGGACTGGAGGCTACAGGAATGAAGCAAGAGTTGGTGGGAGAGAATAACGCATGGCAAAGCAATACCAAACAATTTGAAGTCTATATAACTAGGTTACATTAATACAATGACTGTGTTTGCATGTCATTTTAAGCTGTAGGAAAGTTTCTTTGGGTTTGGTTTAATATAGTGTGTGAACTCAACCTCTGTAAATTTTAAAGTATGTTTCAAAGCTGACCATTTTGTATGAAGTCAGTCAGTTATGGTTAACCAATAAGTCATAATTAAGCAAAACATGGCCGAGCCTATTTTCTGAACTTAACAAGAAAATTTTAATAAATTCATTTTTATAATGTTAATGCTTGTTAATTTTTGAGCAATGCACAGGAAGGAAATATAATGTCAGTGCTGCCATCCTGCTTCACCTCACCACTGCTTTGTTGATACCAGACTGCCATAAATCCTGAGGGGGGGGGGAAGGGAAGAGATTGGCCAACCAACTCCAAGGTTACAACTGTGGGAATAGAATGCGGAACATCACTAACACCACAGCTAAGCATCAGAACTGTTACCAAAACAATTTGTTTGAATCCAAGTGGACACCGGGGAGATAGTCTCGGGGGGGGGGGGAACCTGGGAAAGGGGAAAGTAAGTAGGCAGTTTTTGCGCTCAAATCTCAGATCTGGCTTTTTCTATCTTGTAACCACTTGGCTTTAATAAAGTTATTCCTTTCACTATCAATGCAGTTGAAAGCTCTTTTTTTCTAAACAACCAGGTCGGGACACATAAGTTATCTTGCATTCAGGAACAAGCAGTGTTTTCATTGGTTGTTGAATTTCTTTGGTCCTATTAATTGTGGGGAATGCAAATGAAATCCAAGTTCCATAGAAAATACTTGTTTTTTCTTCTTTTTTTCTCTCTTTATCCTCTACAGAAACCTTTCCCAACTCCGCACCCTAGCATTAGACAATTTGGTGTCTCCAAACTTCTGGGGATTTCAGTTCCCTCAGCTAATAGAGGCAATCACAAGGCATTGGAGAAGTCACAGACCAGCAATTTCTAGAGAATTCTAAGCTGTCCATCCTTGTTTTAAAGTTCAACTCAAAATTCCTACCCGGGATAACCATGAATGACTGGCTGAGAATTCTGGGAATTGTAATCCCGAAACATCCAAAGACCCCAGCCTAGAAAATCTGTTCTTGGCAATGCACTAATGTCATTCCTCCAAATTAAATTATTTAGAGGATTTTTAAATAGCTATAATGACACAAGATCACCAATCCTCATAAGATTTAAGCTAGGGAAAGAGTCTTGAAACAAGAGATCTCACAAGATTTTAGGTAATTTTGGGGGGGAAATCTAGGGCGTGAAAACAATTATCAATCTCTGCTTTACAGCCTAAGCAGAGGTGAGGAACCTGTAGCCCTCCAGGAATAGTGAAAATGCAATGTTTACCTCAGTGTTTCTCAGCCTTGGCAAGTTTAAGCTGTATGAAATTCAACTCCCATGTTGTCTAGGAAATGTTTAAAGTCTCCAAGATTGAGAAACACTGGTTTAGGCATTCAGTCAGTATGGTTAAAGATAAAGGGTGCTGAGAGTTTTAATTCAGCAATAACTGAAGGGCTGCAACTTGCCGGTCTATGAATGTCTATGGTTGATCTACTGACCTAAAATGATTGTGGCAGATCGTGGCGTAGTATGTTATGTGAATCCAATCAATTAGGTTGAATTAGTTAACTATGGTTAATTAAACTAAGAGTTTCCTTGTGTGAACACAGCCTATAATTTCTTCTGATAGGATATTTCTTAGTGGAAGTGCAATTCTATGCCTTCAACATATCTAAAAGCAATAACATTTAAATTAGTTCAGCTACTGATTTTTATACATATACATATACATATTTTGCTTTATTGCCACTTCATATCTTCTTGCAATTAAATTTAAAGGAATTTGCATCCAGTCTAGATATTTTCACTTTATCACTTCACTGTCATTTTCATCCAGATAATGTTGAAATTCAGATAATATATGAAATGACAGCTTCATTCAATCTTTTGCTAAGGCATCCCAACTGGGACTGAGATCTTTTCATAGTCCATCCAAGCTAATCCAAGTGGACATGTTACTTTTTGTGTCCATCTCTTTCTGTTAAATGTACAATGTGTCTTGCACATTTATATTTCTGTTTTAATGCTATAGTTATGACTTTGTTGCAGTTGGTTTGTCACTTCCCTCATTTCCTATTTGATTTCTAAGTAGATCTTTAGCATTTATTTATCCATTGTACTCTGTGTGGTTCCAGATCAGTACATATAAAAGAGAGATGCTAATAGGATGGGAGAAGACATAGAAAGGCAGGTCAACTATAAATGCTTCCATTTCTTGTGCCACGAAAGAAAAAAGATATTAGCTACCAAGTTGCTGATTGAATATAAGTACCAAATTCTGCAACATGCATGCAAAACATCTGTTCCATAACTCTGCTTTGATCCCATCCTACATGTTATTGCCCTGTTCTGTTTTTTCACATTAAGTGTTCTATGATTTGAACTTTAAGTGTGAAACTCATGGACTTTGTCCAGAACTCATATGCTTCTATCAATAACAAAATTTTACCATTTTGTTTTTATTTATGATTTTAGATATTTGGATTGTTTTATTATGTCTGTCACCCAGAGTCACTATATGAGATGAATGACTGTATAAATATAATAAATAAAATAACCCCAGCTATTATCATCACGGATAACTGATTAAAATAGCCATCAAAAAGCCAAAACAAGACTTTAGTAAATCATGCTATCCACGTGTCATTTTAAACCAGGGAATAATTTCATTTGGCTGCAGTTCATATGGTGAAAAATAAACCATTTCTGTGATGTTGTCTATTATATTTTAGAGGAGAGTGTGGGAATCCCCTATCCCAGTGGTGGCAAACCTATGGCACGGGTGCCAGAGGCGGCACTCGGAGCCCTCTCTGTGGGCACATGTGCCATTGCCCCAGCCTTGCCTCCCTCGTGACCCCCTCCTCACCAGCAGCCTCCCTGGAGGAGAGTCACCCCCGAGCGTGGCCCATGCGGAGCAGCACAGCCAAGGACATGGCAGCCAGGCAGTGTAGACAAGACTCTGCCCTCACACCCCATCACGCACAGTTGATGCTGCGGGGCGCGGGCAGAGGGTGTGGCTACCATGGCGCTGCTGGGCTGCCTGAATGATCTATGGCGGGGCCTGGAGGCGGTGAGTGGCCCTGTGGGCAGGCGGGGTGGGGGCGGAGCAGGGGTGGGGCAGGGGGTGGAATGGGGGTGGGGCCAATTTTTGGGCACTTGGTCTCTAAAATGTTCGCCATCATTGCCCTATCCTTTGAGTATCTCTATCCCTGACTCTGTTTTTCGGTCCGATAAAGTGCGTGTGAAACTAGAACCTGGCAGCTGACAAATTCAGAAAGTCCTGACAATGACATCTTTTTCTCTTTTTCTCATTATAGGATAAGTCATGGTTGCACTTTTCCTTTCATCAATATCTGCTTCATCAATATTCTCCTTCAATAATATAATGGAAAGGACACATTACATGTGGGGCAGGCATAACCTTTCTGTATGTAAGAATCCTTTCCTCTTTTATGCCTTCTTTAACCAGGAGTTTAGATGTAATGAATCCCTCTTTGGAGGGAGCTACTAAACAGCAGAGTGACGAATGTGGTGGACATACATTTTAATGGCATCAAACCTGGGCAGATTAAGGTCATTTGGCATTTAATCAAAGCAATAAAGCATTTTGGGATGAAAGTGCATTTTTGTTTCTATTCTAAGACTGCAGAATTATAAATCTTGGTTGTTGTCTCTGTGCTCTGTTCCTTTTCTGAGCACTTCCCCTTTTGTTTACTCCTCTTCTCTTTTAAAGTGCCAGATGGCACAAGATTAAGTGAAACCTGCTTAGTTGCTCTTATATCTGTGGTGCGCTTATGTGTATGCATCCAGAGAGAATTTAGTTTTACATTTATTTTTATCTAGTCTTTATTATTTTCATAAATAACTCAAGGTGGCAAACATACCTAATTCTTCTTCCTCTTTCTATTTTCTCCACAGCAATATCCCTGTGTGGTGGGTTAGGCTGAGAGAGGGTGACTGACCCAAGGTCACCCAGCTAGCTTTCATGCCAAAATCTGGACTAGAACTCACAATCACCCAATTTCTGGCTTGGTGCCTTAACCACTAGACCAGGGGTAGGCAACCTTGGTTCTTTTATGACTCGTGGACTTCAACTCCCAGAATTCCTGAGCCAGCATGGCTAAGCTTGGAAATCTCTCCCTTTCCCCTCAGCATGGCTGGCTCAGGAATTCTGGGAGTTGAAGTCCATGAGTCATAAAAGAGCCAAGGTTGCCTACCCCTGCACTAGACCAAACTGACCTAGTGAATGGAAGGCTAAAGGCTTAGACAATGAGACATAATATTAGTTACATAATTTAGCTGAAGAAGTCTCACCTCAGTTTATCCTCAAAACAATCCCACATGATAGCCTGAGGAGAAGAGAACTAACTGAAATTCAAACAAAGATGGATTTCCATAGACCTCTCCCTAATTCCAATTCATCACATTGGCTATGTGGCTGTCAATATGATACTATTTGGTTTATCATCCCTAAGTAGCCACTGGAAAGCACTTTTCAGGAAACCTCTAGCTTAACATCTTAGCACAAACCAGAGATGGAACAGCATTAATGCAAAATATCTTCAGGAATTGCAACAGTGCTAACTTCGTGTTAGCCTGCCTGGTCTGTGGTCTGCTACAAGAACTATCTGGATATTAGCATGGATGTACATCATTGATAGAAGTCAAGGAAGAGCAGGATCCTTGTAGATAGCAGCCCACTGAAGACTCCAGATGCAATTTCCACCTTCTCTTTGTAGAGCAGGAACTGACTGTCCTTTTTTGAGGCTGCAGAACTGTGTTGGGTAATGTTAACTGTTCTGAAAAAGCAGACCAGTGACCTGATGTTCTATATTGCAGTTTCTATTTTCTACTCTACTACTGCTGTACAAAGCAGCATCAGAATGTTTGACAGAGCATTATACAATATAAATGAGTAAGACACAAATTAAGGGTGTGAGAGATATGGAGGAATTGAAATGTCTAGCTAGTAGATGAACAATAGGAGAGCTAAGAGGTTCAAACATATTACTCAGAAAGATTCAGAAGCACAGTGTAAGCTGTTAAATAAATAGAGATTATAAGAGATTATTGCCTGTTTAAAGTTACAATGATCAAGGTTTATGAACATAAGGTCCATTGCTGCAATATATTGATAAAGGTAGTCTTATTTCTAAGACTTCCTCTATTTGGCATTTACATGCTTTAAATGTTAAGCTCAAAAATTCCAAAAATGAACAAAATACTGTAAGCCCAGCTGTTTGTTTATAAACTAACCCCGAAAATGAATTCCATAAAAGGCCTTCCAGGAGAATTTTGGACTCACATCATAAAGAGTTTAAGAGACTAAATTCAACATCTTGAACTGAGTTAATTGATAGTCAACAGAACTGATGCAAAACTGGCTGACACCACTCTTCTTCATGAATATTGTATGCAGTTATTTTTTGTTTTGCTTTTTTTCTTGCTGTAGGAGTTCTTCCTGTATATAAATCCTGCATTTATGCATCTGAAATTATTCACACCAGGGATTAAATACATTAATAACAATCTCATCTCTCACATGTCATAGGTATCCTAGGGTACTTGTCATCAGAATTAATCAAGATGATAAAGAATACTCAAATTACAAAGAGAGAGGACTGTTTGCTACCAATAATTACCCATAAAGATCATAATTTAGATAAAATCCAATTTCCTGGCTTTGGCAGGTGGAAAGGAAAAATGTAAATGAACTATGGAGTACTTAAAAACTTAGAAAGTATTTCGAAAGGAAAGTGAACCTATTTATCCATTCTTAAACAGTGTACATAGAATGCGATAACATTGACTAGCAGATCTGGATTTACATAAAACACCCCCTGTTCCTGGGAATCAGAAGCTGCATGAAGTTAGAATTTAGCCACTTGACTCATAGCATTTCAAGAGCTCCCATACTAATGCTGCTTTTTTTTCTGTAAAGAACTGTATGGTGACTGATCTCTGTATACCTTTCACTCCATGCAATGAACTTCTCAAAGTTTCCTTTTTGGAAGAATGGGAATTGCAGACTTACAATCTCCCCAAGAAGAAAGAGCCAACATAATCAGCTTTGCAGAAAATATAGCAGCTAGTACTGATGAATGGAATGATTGTCTCCTCTAGGCCCAATCCTAAAGATTGCAGTGCTGCAAATAATTAAAGCCTTGGTCAACTTCTTCCGTTTTATTTACTCAGTCCAATCAGTGTAACCCTTTGGTCTAGTGCAGGGATCTCCAACCTTGGCAACTTTACGACTTGTGGACTTCAACTCCCAGAATTCCTCAGCCGGCATGGCCGACTGAGGAATTCTGGGAGTTGAAGCCCACAAGTCGTAAAGTTGCCAAGGTTGGAGACCCCTGGTCTAGTGAACAAGATCCGTTTTGTTTTAATTTCTCAGCTCCTGGCTTAGAAGCAGCTTGTTGTCCTGTCTTTATAGATGTTTGATTGCTCACCTGGGACTCAGTTTCCCTGGCAGTAAGAGAGTAGCATAGCATTAACATTACAGCAGATTCTGGATCCCCTTCATAGCACCAGAAAGCATGAGCATGTCATTTCTGCATATCACCTGCCATTTAAAAGCACACAGATCAAGGAGAAATTCTTGTACCTCCTTTGTTGCCCAGCACATAGCAGCCTGAGAATCAGAAGAGATTTGGGCTGCACTGATCAGGCTTCTGAATGCGCTGCCCACCAAAAGCTTGAGTCCTGTATGCTCCAAGAAAGAAGGGAGTTGGAGCAGAATTCCAGTCTCCAGGCAGAATGTATTAGGCGCAGTGTTTCCCAAACTTGACAATTTTAAGGCATGAGGACTTCAACTCCCAGAATTCCACAGCCAGCAACGCTGGCTGTGGAATTCTGGGAGTTGAAGTCCACATGCCTTAAAATTGTCAAGTTTGGGAAACACTGTATTAGGGTTATGCATGTACCTTGTGTGTGCACGTGCCTTCAAATCAATATTGACACCTGGTGACTGCCTGGGAAAGTCCCTGCAGTTTCTTTGGCAACATTTTTGAGAAATGGTTTGCCCTTGCCTTCTTTTTAGGGCTGACAGAGGTGATTGGACAAAGGTCACCCAGCAGGCTTCAATCATAGATATGTCTAGAATAGTGGCGATGAACCTATGGCACGCGTGCCGGAGGCGGCACTCAGAGCCCTCTCTGTGGGCACACACGCCATTGGCCCAGCTTTGCCTCCCCCATGGCCCCCTCACCAGCAGCCCCCCCCCCAGAGAGTCGCCCCTGGGTGCGGAACAGCGCAGCCAAGGACATGGCAGCCAGGTAGCAGGGACAAGACTCCGCCTTCGCGCCCCGATGTGCGCAGATGATGCTGCTGGGCACGGGTTGAGGGCATGGCTGCCATAGTGCTGCAGGGCTGCCTGGGCAATCTGCAGTGGGCCATGGAGGTGGTGGGGGCCCTGCAAGCAGGCAGGGGTAGAGTGGGGGTGGAGTGGGGGTGAAGCAGGGGCAGGTGGCGGAGCGGGCAGGTGGGCTGGGGGAGGGGCAGTTTTTGGGCACTCAGTCTCTAAAAGGTTCGCCATCACTGGTGTAGAATTCACTATATCCTAGTTTCTAGCCTGAAGCCTTAACTACTACAAGTTAAGTTCCTTTTTAAAAAAGATACTTGTACCTTTATGAAAGTTAAATTTTAGTGACTTATGTTTTCTCTTGGATAGCAAAACTGATTTTATCCGGCCAGAAGTTGCATAATTGCATTTTGGTGATAAATAGACATAGTTTAAAATCTTGCTGCCACTAGGGCTAGGCTATATGATAACATTGGTTCTTATACTGAGGTTCTTTCCTATCTTATCAACCCTTTTCTTTATGACTTAATATTTTAGGTATGGTAGGTGGTAGGAGTAAGGAGAGGATAATTCAGGTCTCTTTCTTATCTTGTCTAAGGATTAATTATTGATTACCTCTTGATGGAGCCGCAGCAAAATCTGCTCCTCAGTTGGACAATATCTGTTTAACCAATAGAATTGCACAGCATTTAATCTTATATGCTGTTTCACAGTGCTTTTACAGCCCTCTCTAAGTGGTTTACGGAGTCAGCCTATTGCCCCCAAAAATCTGGGTCCTCATTTTACCGACCTCAGAAGGATGGAAGGCTGAGTCAACTTTGAGCGGGTGAGACTCGAACTGCTGAACTGCTGGCAGCTGACAGTCACCCGAAGTAGCCTACAGTGCTGCATTCTAACCACTGCACCACCAAGGCTCAGAAGAGAATATTTGTAGCTCAGGGTTGAAGTGTGGGGCCCTTGGTGCACTGATGTTGTTACCTAGTTTGGCAATGAAATGTCTCCAACAAAACCACCAAGCTCAGAGAGCACCAAAGACCCCACAATATCTGTTTAAATTGTCTGACTGAAGACCTGGGCTACAAAAAAACCCAGACATAGGTGGCAGTAAGGAGATACAGAAAACTTTGCTGCCATCTAATTTGGAAAACTTATTTCAATAATTTTCCTTCCTACATTGTAATTTGCAGAAGGGATCTCATCTCTCATTAGCCTCAGTCAGTATAACAGATCCCATAGTCTCTGGAAGGCTAGAGATTCCTTGCTCAATTGTACAGGTAGACTGGGAAAAAAATACTATAGTTATTAAATAGGGTCCAATTTTCCTTCAATTTGAAAAAAAGTTGAAGCTATTATTTTCAAATGATAGTTAATCTCTAAATCTCATGTCTGAACATTTAAATGTTCATATTTGCAATGTTATTTTCTTTTATCATAAGATTAAAGGGGGGACATGTACAGGAGTTAAATAGGTACATCAACAATCTATGTCTTATTATGATTAACTGACCCCATCTGGCATCTTTAGTAGCCTCCAGTATGAGATTCCTACTCTACCTTTTTCATGCTCAGAGCAGAGCATAGATAGATTGGACTACATTTGATGCTGCCCAGCATCTTTATAAAATAACATCTTGATGATATCTGGTTTATAAGAAAGATAATACGCAAACTTCAGCAATGTTCCTCTGTTATTACATGAAATACAAAAGGAGCTAAATTAGAGTTCTAATTCATTGTTTGCATCAGAGCAGTCAAAAGAACTGAATGGGAAATCTAAAATTACTTTCATAATTCTGACTTATACAGATACTACAATTTGTGTGGGTTTATGTCACAGCACTAAGCACAACTTCTATGGACTTGTGTGCATTAGACTGCATGAATAAGCCCTGCATGTCTGCAGACTTTGCACAGAGTCTCCATCCCCGCACAGTTACTGCACAAAGGTTGGGGGTCAAGGTTTGTTGCCACAATCCTACTGTTATCTGCATGCAATTACTGTACACACAATTGCTTTCTCAAGAGGAAGCTTGATATAAGACTGTAGAAATCAGTAAGATGATAAAATCATTACAAGAAAAGGAACATGTTAAGTTACCATTTCTGTTTCCTTCCAGAATGGTTCCGTTTCTGGTTGGGCTGGATGTTTGATGCCTCAGAGTAGCGGTTGATGGTCCTCCAGAAGCCACTTGAGCAGAACGATGACTGCAGGAGGAAGACGATCCTCCACCGTGCCGTCCCTCTCCAGAATTTTGTCTCATAGAGTACAAAGATCCCACGCAATTAAATGCTGAATCAGAGGGATCAATGCTGTAGTGTTTTGTAGCCAGGGGTTCAACCAGATAATCTTCAGGTATAATTGTTTCTGCTTGAAAAAGAAGAATCAGGTTATTTTGAAATACAGTGCTGTTTCCAAAAGCAAGAAAATTGATTTTGGAACTTGTTTTTAATTTTGTTTTAAATACTGGACAGACAGTTTAAATCCACTAGCAAATTTAAGTGTGAGCCACTGTAAACTGAAAGAGTTGTATTATACACAAATTATTAATAAGGATTTATAATAAAAATAGGTTGAAGTTAATTTTTAAGACAGTAGCTACATAGTTTTGAAGTTAATTAATACTGCCCATCTCTGACAACCTGAGACTCAGAGCTTAAATTGTTTTGGAAAGATTATCTGAATATGTGCAGAAAAGGTATTATTAGACTTAAATAAATATGTAAATTCAGGAGTTTGTTGGAAAGATGGAGCAGAGGTCTCATCCTGCTCAATGGCACAAAATAAATCACAGGACAGGTAGTGATTACCTGACTGTTAAGTCTCCTCTTTGCTTGCACTTACAACAGAAAGGTGTGAAAGGGGCACTTAATTGGTAAAACCTTGTGCTAGATTTTGAGCCATGAAAATAAGCAAAATGGATTTTGACAAATCTTTAATCAGAGAAAATGCTTTTTATTGATACAAGCCCTATGTCTTATTTGAAATGGGGGTTTGTTAGCAAATTACAGGGGAGAAGCCAACGTCATCCTGCACTGCACTGACTCCTTGACAGCAGTTGTCTAATTCAGAGTTTTCAAACTTGTTCAGGCTGCAAAACTTGATTAAAAAATAAAAAAAATCCTGGGATCCAGGATCAAGAGGCAAAGCTCTAATGATAGAAAATTGTCTGTGTGGATGGAGATGTCTTTGTCTTTAGTCTCATCAAGTTTTATGGAGTTCTATGAGACACAGCCTGAAAAAACCTTGGTGTAACTTACTATTTTAGAATGCTTTAGGCATGATACTATAATTATGGGAAGCAGAATCAAAGAGTGGGACCCATGGATTTATTGGAGAGGCTTCTTATCGTTCACCTTACACTAAATCCCAGATACCTGCTGCAGCAAAAATACCGATACTCTGATAAAAAGCAGTGGTTATAATATTTCAAATTTTATTTTCCACCGGTGTTCTCTGCATCGCTATAATATTTTCTTTTATTCATTGGCATTAGCAAGCCATTATGACAAAAAATATTAGTCATTAAAATGCTACCAGGGAAGATAGCTCTTGACAGTTTAATTTCAGAAACACGAATGAACTAGACTGTGCATTATGTCCAGAATGTTATCACATTTTCTGCACATGCACATTAAAACAATAAAGGAAACAAAGACTGCCTGGGGATTTAGAATTTGCTACAGGAGCAAATGGAGATCTCTCTTTTCTCGGTCGATGATTTCTCTCTGATAAGAAAGAGTCCTCATAATATTATATGCAAATTTGAAAGTGACATGCTGAGGCAGTAGTGAAGGGTTCATCCTTTTGGCAACTGACCATATTTCCATGTTCATAATAATAGTCTCCATAACACCTTCTCCCTTCAGATGTGGTGATTCAAATGAATCTCCATTTGTTCTCAAGGTCAGGACTAGTGTGCTAGTTTAGGAGAATGGATGTTGTAGTCTTACATATCTGGAGGCTGCAAGGCTGCTCTAAATTTTTCTTGGAAGCAAATTATAGGAAGTATAATTGCTGTTCATTTGGGGTTATAACATTGTTTTGCTCCTTTGTCTTTTTTTCCTTCTCTACCACTGTATTTTCCTTGGTCAAAACAACAACAACAACCCCTAGTTCCTAAGGAATATAGCCAATGTAAAAATATTGTGCTGGATATAAGCAAAGGGTCACTTGGTCCAGCCTTCTGTTCTCACCAGATGCCTTTGGGAAAATCAGAATAAAGGCTTATGCTATCTCATGAACTGATATTGAAAGACCATTAATTTCAATGCAAGCAGTATTAATTTGGGGATTAAGAAGGAGTGTAGGGGAAGAGGTAATTGGAGTCATGGGACAACCCCCCATTTTTCAATGCCTTATAGTCATCTTCCCTTGGATATCTTCAACTGCAGCTTTCCTTATTGTTAGGAAACGGGCCAGATTGGGATGGGTCAATCTATTTGCTATTTCTTTCAGACAGAAGAGGGAGACAGACACCCAGACAGACATTAGGTATCATGTTACCTAATTTAATGAATGTGGAGTTCACTCTCTGTTTATATACAGTAGCTTTTAAATAGTGTTGAAATATATAGCTTTGAATGTGTTTTATCTAAAAGTTACCTGTGTTAAGAACCACATGTTGGGTTCCCTCTTCATGTTATCAGTGGCTAACCAGGCAACCAACAGAGGTGCCTGCCAGATTCTAGAGCAGTGGTTCTCAACCTTTTTAATGCTGCGACCCCCAACCCGTCGTAAGTCGAGGACTACTCAACCGGTCGTAAGTCGAGGACTACTCAACTGGTGCAGCACCGTTTGCAGAATGGGACTTTTGGCGGGCTCAGCAGGGCAGAGACAGCCTGGACAATTCCTATTGGCTTTCCAAGAGAGTCTATTCTATTAGCTTTCAAAAGCCAATAGAATAAAAGGGAGTAGCACAGCTAAGAAAAAGGGGGAAAAAATGACGGACTGCGTTGTTTGGCGAAATGGTCATTCGACCCCAAATGGGGTCCCGACCCACAGGTTGAGAACCACTGTTCTAGAGGGTTAATAAATAACACAGGGAGGAAGGGAACCTTGTTATCTATCTTAGGCTCTATTCTAGCCAGCATTAGCTGCTTTTGAATTATTCTAGATTATGCAGCTGCCACTCCTACTCAACCTGTGCTTCCTGAACCACCTGCAGCCTTCAAAGCTTTACTGCTTATCTATTTAATAAGAGGATAGCAATGTTTTCTTGTATTTAGCAATAGCAATAGCACTTAGACTTATATACTGCTTCACAGTGCTTTACAGCCCTCTCTGAGCGGTTTATAGAGTCAGCCTATTGCCCTCCAACAATCTGGATCCTCATCTTACCAACCTCAGAAGGAAGGAAGACTGAGTCAACCTTGAGCCGATCAGGATTGAACTGCTGGCAGTCAGCAGAGTTAGCCTGCAATGTTGTATTCTAACCACTGCATCACCACACCATTCTTCTTATCACAGCTTCATTTTGGAATGCATGATCAGCAGTCAAGTGGCCCCTGGTTCAAAAACAACATTGTGAACCTTGGTTTTGGAACTAGATGACTGAGTCTTTCTAAAATCATGCCATGTGGAACCAGGCTGTGAAGTCTCCCTAAGATTCACCATTTTATCTAAACTATTAGGGTCACATATTTTTGCTTACAAAATTGAAAATTATATACTGTGTGTATGCATTATAAGGTAAAAAACCAAACCCATATATTAGCAAAACTGTTCAATCTGGTTTGAAATCTACCAAACAGATTCTCCTGTGACGGTTGATATCAACTGAAAGCAGCAGAGTACATAAACATGTCTGGTTTGTATAGGGCACAGGTCGGCAACCTGCGGCTCCGAGCCGCATGCGGCTCTTTGAGCCTTCCCCTGTGGCTCCCAGCCTCCTCTGCCTTTGCAGAGAGAGACAGAGACAGAGAGAGGCAATTGCGCTTCCCTGCTTCTCTCTCTCTCTCTCTCTCTCTCTCTCTCTCTCTCTCTCTCTCTGTGTGTGTGTGTGTGTGTGTGTGTGTGTGTGTGTGTGTGTGTGTATATATACACAAGAGAGTGCACTCACAGTGTTCTCCGAGGAGCTGGAAAGCTTTCTGGACGGAGCTCCTCCCTTTGCTGCGTCTCTGCAGGAAGCAGGAAGGGCAGGAGAGAGCTAGCTAGCCCAGCTAGGCTGACTCAGGAATTCTGGGAGTTGAAGTCCATGAGTCATAAAAGAGACGAGATTGCCCACCCCTAGCTTGTTGGACAACAGCTTGAAGCTTGCCAGGTGAGCAGCAGATAGGAGGGGGGGGGAGAAAGAGAGAGAGAGGGAGGGAGAGAGAGAGAGAGAGAGGAAAGAGAGAGAGAAAGAAAGAGAGTGGGGGAAGAGGAGTGGCAGACCAAGGGCAGATAGGGAGGGAGGGAGGGAGAGAGACAGAGAGAGAGAGAGACCCTTTTGACATCTAAAATGAAGATAACACTGTATATATCCTTTTTTTACCTGTGTGTGTATGTAATTTTATTCTCTTAAAGCATTCTCTTGGTGATCATTGTTTTAATGGTATGGATATTCCCAAGAGTCATATTTTTACTTTTATTTTTAATGTGTGTGTGTGTGTGTATGTATGTATGTATGTATGTGTGTGTGTGTATTACACACACACACACACACACCTATAATAAAGGTAAAAAAGGATATATGCAGTGTTATCTTCATTTTAGATATCAAAAGCGTTTTGCGGCTCCCGGTGTTTTGTTTTTGGTGGGAAACAGGTCCAAGTGGCTCTTTGAGTGTTTTGGGTTGCCTACCCCTGGTATAGGGAAAATGTTCACAAAATTACACATTAGGCTATGCAGTGGTGGGATTCAGCCAGTTCACACCACTTCAGCAGAACCGGTAGCTAGCTTTTTGTTGCCCAGGCCCAGAATGGACTTCCGGAAGGGGCATCCACACAGAAAACCAGTTGTTCACATATTTGAATCCCACTACTGAGGCTATGGTCACAAGAGAGGGGTGTCTGGGCAGGGGAGAAACAAGGCATTCAAAAGAGTGAAGATGGCCTCTGTGCCTGCTGAACTGAAATCCTACCTTTTTTTATATGTGTGTTGCATGTGTGAACTATATTTAAAAAAGAGAAGGATGTTCAATCATGTAGTCATGGACACCATCTTGACTTTTTTTTTTTTACTCTCCTGCAGTTGCCCTTGTAATAGTCTGTCCCTTCATTACCCCTGAATTGTATCTGAAGAGGGATGAGGGGGAAGAAAGGAGAGGAGAGAGAAAAGAGTAAAGGAGGGGAAAAGGAAGTAGGAAGGTTGGAGGAGAAGAGAAGTGGGGAGAAGTGGTGAAGGAAAGAGAAGAGGAGAGGAAGAAGAGGGAAGTAGGGAAGAGAAGAAAGAGAGAAAGAAGGTAGAGAAGAAGGAATGTGGATACAGTGAAAGGGGAAATGGGCGAGCAACACCAAAAGTCATGTGTATGTATTTATTTCATTTTATCAAAAGTATCTTATATATGAATGTAAAAAGAATGTATGTTAACATCTGATAAATATCACGGTATATGTATGGGGGAGAGTTTGGAAAAATAAAAAAATATTAGTAATAGCCTGTCCCTTTACTGCATTGCTGTCATTCAAGATCTGGCAGAGGCAGCAGGACCAGCACCCCACTTCTGACTGGAGCTCAGCTTTCACAAAGAATGAAAATCCTGTCTCTCAAACCATCCCACTGCATCTCATTTTAAATGCTGGAGACAACCTAGCAACCTTCCCTTCACAAACTGCTTTAGACAGGCAAATAGCTTTCTATTAAATATTGTTGTGGTTGACTAGATTGCAGAGATCTCCCGTTTCCCCCTTTAAGCCTGACCTTAATATTTTATGTATTGTTTAAAGGATAATGTTCCAGGCAGAGGAATCTATGAGGCAATAAATGAATTGTGCAGGTAATTAAATGACGAACCAAAGCCAGAAAATACTGATAACCATAAAAACCATTTATTTTGACTGTACTCCAAAGCTATGAGCAGCAATTATTGTATGGGGGAAAGAAGATTGAATGCTACAGGACTAAGTGAAAGCCAGAATGAAAACGGCACATTTGTGGCATACAAGGAACTGAACTCAAATTGTGTTTGTTGTGTTTTTCTGCCTTCAGAAGAACACTTTGAAGTCAGGTGAAAGACATGTATGACTATTATGTTGAGCCACTAAAAGTCTTTTTTAATGAAGTCCTCAAAGCATTTAATGCATTTTACAATTTGGATTAAAAAAAACCCAATGACATTATAAAGTTTAAATTTCACAGTCTCCTTTGCCAGCACATTCTAAGAAAGACTCTGTATTTGGCAGACCTGGAGATGACATAGAAAGAAAAAAAACAACCCCTATCTCTCAAATCATATTTGCCTAGAATAAATGGCAGAAGCGAGGCCTAACATGCATAACACAAATGCTTTTGAAATTAGATTTTTTTTTACTTTAACAAAAACACATTTCACAGAAAAGGCCAACAGTTATGCTGAATATCAAGAAATCTCTCTCTCCCCCCCCCCCCGTACACAAACACAGATACACTATGGAAGAGAGCAGAAGCAAAGGTTTTGTTATTTTGAATCACTGCAAAAATAGTCTTACTTCATCCTCCAGCAAAATTCATGTACTCCAATTGCCTACATTATTTTTAAAAGAATTTAGCACACTCTTTTTCTCTTACACACACACACATCACAAACCTTCCCTTCTGTTTCTTTGTTGTAATCTTTATAACTCTTTCTGTTGTTCCAGACAGCCCTTCCTCACTAGTGCTACTTCTTCTTCTCCTCACTAAGGTGTGTCCCTCTGACTACTCTTCAATTCATTCTCATGTCTGCACGCCATTCCAAACCAGGCAGGACAAGATCCTGCTACAATACCCTCTTATCCATAAAGCTGACCCCAGAAATCCAACTGGTTTCTGTTTCCTGAGGCTGCGACCCTTGAAAAGCTTGACCTCGATCTTGAAAGTCTCCCAATTAGGTCTCCCGCTAAACTTATACCTAATGTATGGTACTTAAGACAGAAATACTTTATAGCTCCTTTTCACTTCTCTGCCTTTCCAACTCTGCACTCAGGAATCTTTACCTTAATTCCCTGTGTTTTCTCCTGCAGCAGGGCACTCTCTTTCTCTGTTCCCAGATAGTCCCTTATAATGGATGGCTGGGAAGAAGTTTCTATGAATCTTTCACACCCCCCCTCCATTTTTTTCACTTGAAGAGTGCAATGTCTGTGACAGGTGAAGTCATCCTCGGTTAAATTCCTTTTCCTTTCCTGAAACTGGCATTAGTTCTATAATTGACAAAAAATACGGGCAAGAGAATTTAAATTAGGTGGCAGCACCTAGCTAACATTGGCTCATCTCAAAAGCTAAGCAGGAGCAGATCCAAAATTCTTTTGGTAGGAGACCCCAGGACTGGGGCCAGTTTGAAAAATGAACACTATGCAGGAAGAAACCAATGACAAAGTACTACCTTATTATTGCCAAGGAAACTTTATGGAAACACAACTCAAAGAAGATTTTAATTATATGATAGTATCTATTCTTTCTCCTAGCTTTGAACTAAACACGTTTTTAGGAACTTAGAGCTGGAAACTACCATGCAGCAGAACAGCCAAAACTCTTCCCCATGTTGCTGCAATCAAAATGGGTTCCTAGATTCCCCCCCAAAAGCCCAACCCCGGTATATATTTTAGAAGTGAAGACTGAGAGTTCTCCTATATCACATCTGATCTGAGATGCAACTTAAATGTGTATGAAAAGAATTTTCGTTGCTGCAGAGCAAAATTGGTATGATAATCAATTGGAAATAACTTAGTGGGATCTTTTTTCCTTCCATTCAATCATATCTGATCTTTGGAGCCTGTCTGGAGAAGTCCCTACAGTTTTCTTGGCAAGCTATTTCAGAAATGGTCTGCCATTGCCTCCTTCCAGGGCTGAGAGAAAATGACTGGCCCAAGGTCACCCAGTTGGCTTTGTGCCTAAGGCAGGACTAGAACTCAGAGCCTCCCTGTTTTTAGCCCGATACTTTAACCACTACACCAACTGCCTCACTCTTGGAAGATTCATATTTTATTAGCTCTTAAACCTACCTGATTCCATCCGTCCATTTTCATATTCTTCTGGGTTTTCAGAAGTGTTATATTGTGGAAAAGGCTGGTTGCTGAAAAGATTGTCGCATAATAAGTTACGGCAAAGCTTTTTGAGGAATCGCAAAACATAACCAATACTGTTCACAACCGGGAGACTCAAGAGGTGTTGTTTTCCTTCAAAAGAGGCAGAAACTGATGGAGAGATAGAAAAAAAATGTAGGTAGTTGCAGTTCTTTCAGTATGACATGCAAAGCAGGCTGATGTCCATGGGACTGAGTATGGCCCTTCCCCATCACTGATATAGTGAAACTGGTCTATATCAGCCTAGTATGAAAGTTGTGGCAGGAGAATTCTTTGGGTTGGAGTTTAATGGTTCCTCAGTTTTGTCAGTTTTGATGGAAATAAAAAAGATGTCAGAGATCTTAAAAACAAATGCTATATTTTCACTCTTGCTACATTGAACTGAGTCTAATCAGAAACTTTGAACTGCCACTGCAGTCATGTTTACAGGAATTCAGCCTTAGCCGTACAAGAAAATAATAATAATTTTACTAAATATTACAAGCTGGCATGTTTTCAGAATTCAGCTAAAGTATTTTTTTTGTGTATATGTTTAGCTTTTTGTTCTTTCAGCATAGGTGCAAATAGGATCAAAATGCCCAGAGGAGAAATGAAAATGGAAACAGAATATAAATAAATGTTTCACTGTGGGATAAACCTTAGAATTGCACAATGTGACAAGTCTTGGTAGTGGAGTAAAATGGACTTAATGCAGAAGATAATTGTCAGTATTTCAAAACAACATTTCTTAAAGCATATTTCCATCTGTATTTTTAAAAGGATGATGTAAATATTGTGATTCATTACTATATTTCAGTAATGAAATAGAGACATGAAATATGGACATGAAACACTTCAAAAAACAGAAGCCGGTATCCTAATAGCCCAGTATTGTGTAATAAATATATAATATCTCTTAAAGAGAATATGATCTAATGGATAGCAGTTAGAGTGCTCACATATGATCATTTCATCAGAATAATGTATGTATGTATTTGATTTATATCGCATTTCATTTTCAGTCAGAAACTCCTAAGAGTAGAGGCAACATATCCTCCTCCTGTTTTACAACCCTTGAAGTAGATTGGGTTGAGAGAGAATGATTGGTCCAAAGTCACCCAGTGAGTTTCTGTGGCTGAGGGTAGATAAAATGGCTGTCTTTATCACAGCAGGTGACAGTACCTGTTTGACCTTAGTTTATGTCAACAAGCTGAGCAAAGTAACAGCTAATTAATACAGTACTTGTTTAGGATACTACCAAGAGATCCAAGGATTGTAATATAGAGAACAAACAAGAAAAGTACATGTTCATATAGCCACAAAGAGTCAAACTCCACTTAACGCTTTACCTTAAACCAGTGGTTCTCAACCTGTGGATCGGGACCCCATTTGGGATCGAACGACCATTTCACGGGGGTCGCCAAACAATGCAGTCCGCCATTTTTTTCCCCTTTTCCTTAGCTGTGCTACTCCCTTTTATTCTATTGGCTTTTGAAAGCCAATATAATAGACTCTTTTGAATAGAGTCTAATTCTATTGGCTTTCAAAAGCCAATAGGAATTGTCCAGGCTATGTCTGCCCTGCTGAGCCCGCCAAAAGTCCCATTCTGCAAATGGTGCTGCACCAGTTGAGTAGTCCTCGACTTACAACCGGTTGAGCAGTCCTCGACATATGACTGGTTGGGGGTCGCAGCATTAAAAAGGTTGAGAACCACTGCCTTAAACAATGACATATTATAAATTTGGAATCACCTAATTATTAACAAACAGGCATGGGGCACAGAAACAAGTTGAACAATGAAATCAGGTGGATTGGAAATGGAAAAAATACTGACTCTGTTCACATGTTTACATGAATGTATGACAACTCAAAGTGGAGATGAATTTCCATTGGTGAACAGTTTTTCAGACTTGGCTCTACTTATCCATTTATTAAATTCATATGCCACCCATCTCTCCTAGAGGACACTCTAAGCAACTTACAACCAAACCAGACCTGCTCAAATATGGAATGGATGCATTACAGGCATAAAACAAAGCCCTACCAACTCTATTCTTAATCATTTTTATCAATGAATGCTGAATAGAATATTATCCAAGGCCCATGGCCCTTGTTAGCACTGTCTCCAGTTTTACCTGACACCATTTCAGCGCCATAGCCCTGCTTGACAAGAGAGAAGACAGTCTTTTGCTGGTGGGCACAATCAATGCATGCCTGAACTGCCTGCTGTAACACCGTGGAAGGTCGTTCAGGTCCAAAGTGATCTGGGAGTTGCTGCACTCTCTTTCGCTCAAGGTACGGCCCCACATTCGCTTGCTTGTTGACATAAAGGCAGACTGCAGGAAGGGAAAAAATCCTTGTTATTGTCCAAAAAGATCTCTAAAAACTTCATAAAACATAATTTCCTTTCTGTGTCTCTAATTTGGTTTTGTAAACTGGAGATTCAGGCCTTTGCAGACCCCATGTATCTGGCATCCTGTTGAGAAATGCTTCACTGGATGACTATACAAATATGGATTTGTTTCCAGAGAACAGAAGTATTTCCAATCATAGTCAGAAATTTAGGCATATAGAATGAGCTGAAAACCCTGGTTCTATATAATGAAGAAAATCATGAGAATAAAATATGAAAGAAAGCAAGAAATCAAATTGGTTAAAATTTGATAAAATGAAGTTTTTTTTTAAAAAGTGACTCTTTCTTCATCCATGTTTCTCTAATTATCCCAGAGGTCAACATAAAGACTTTTACTGAGTCTTCCATCATATCTTATATTCCATATTACTTGGGTTTAAACTTTGAGTGCAATTTATTACCTTAATCCAATCTATTATGTAGTTGCACAGATTAATAAAGTAGCTTGTAATATCAATATTGGGTCTTTTCTGGAACAAAAATGCTAACGTTTGCTATACCAGAACTTTTTTCTTTTAAGAAGGATACTCTATTGTATGCAGGTCTATCTATGATTATGTCTTAACAGACCTGGTCTCAGTCATATTAAAACAAGACACATTATTATTGCTGGCCACAAAAGTGTTAGAGTTGTCATCATTCAGAACATTTCTGTCATCCTGTGACAGAAATTAGAAAGGTGACAAAGAAATTATTACATAGCAAAGAAGATAGATGTGCAGTGCTGTGGATAATACACAATTATTATAACCATAATAAAAATGTAGTACTTGAAGTGTTAACAGCTACTCAGACTTGACAATAAAAAGTCTCAAAGCATTTTATTCTAGTTAAATGGCAATAATAGCATAACATAGCTCCATAAGCCACTGAAAGCATGCATAACAAAGCAGAAAACATAAACAAAGCAGGAGACCCCATTGTAAGCACAACTGAGGAGCGCAGATGGCTTTTCTAAGTTTTGATGATGAATCTATTCATGAAAAAGCATCCATATTTTACTTTCAACCTGTGGCACAGAGTTTCTTAAATCAAAGTCAGTACACAAGTTGCTTCTGCGCACCTCTTTTTCTATTATGTACCACCAAAGTAGCAAATAATACTGAAAACGAAAATAGAGGAAAACATCAGTTTGGAAAGACAGCTGGCAAATTAACTGATAAGCTGTCTTGGGGCTCTCAGAAGGACAGGAAAAAAAGCTTTCTTAAAAACCCTGGATGTAAAACAAGGCTTTCATTTTGGTGGATTTGATTCTACATACCTGTGAGGGCTTGTGGTGCTGCTGAGTTGGGAATTGTAGCCGCATCCTGGGGGATTGAACTAATATCAGGTTCTGGGGTGCTTCTTGGTGGGGAGATTGCTAAAGGAGTCATTAGAACACGAGATTTCAGCTGGAAGACACAACAGATGTTGGTCATGAATAAACATATCAAATCTATTCAGTTATACCACAACTTTGAGCTCTTTCAACTCCCCAAATTCTGTGACATGGCATTCTTTCCCTGATATGGAACCTAGAACCTCAGAGTTGGAAAGGAACTTGGAGGTCTTCCAATCCAAACCCCCACCACTCAAGCAGGAGACCCTACACCATTTCAGACAAATGGCTGTCCAGTCTCTTCTTAAAAGCCTCCAGTGATGGAGCACCCACAACTTTTGAAGGCAAGCTGTTCCATAGGTTGATTGTTCTCATGGTCAGGAAATTTCTCTTTAGTTCTAGGTTGTTTCTCTCCTTGGTCAGTTTCTATCCATAATTCCTTGTCTGGCCTTCAGGAGCTTTGGAAAATAGGCTGACCCTTTCCTCTCTGTGACAGCCCCTCAAATATTGGAGTACTGCTATTATGTCTCACCTGGTCCTTCTCTTCACTAGACTAGCCATTGCCCAGTTCCTGTAACCATTCTTCATATGTTTTAGCCTCTAGCCCCCTTATCATCTTTGTTGCTCTTCTCTGCATTTTTTCTAGAGTCTCAACATCTTTTTGATATTGTGCTGACCAAATCTGGATGTAATATTCCAAGCGTGGTCTAACCAAGGCCTTATAAAGCGATACTAACATTTCACGTGATCTTGATTCTATTCATCAGTTAATGCAACCTAGGATTGCACTGGCTTTTGGGATTTCTGTAGCACACTGCTGGTTCATATGTAAATGATTGTCTACTAGGATTCCAAGATCCCTCTCACAATTACAGCTATTGAGCTAAGTTCACCTAATCTGTACTTGTACATTTGATTTTTCTTGCTTAAGTGCGAAACCTTGCTTTTCTGGACAATGAATTTCATTTTGCTAGATAAGGCCCAATGTTCAAGTCTGTTGAGAGTTTATTAATTTATATAATTAATAATTAGAGAAATATGAGGAAGAGGAAGAAGATAGAAACAAATTGCATTTTAAGTTGCCATGCACAATACTACCTTATGGTGTAATTTGTCTCAGAATTTATTTCTTCCAGAATTTAGAAAAGGGACAGTGAGGAATCATCATCACTCCCAATGTGCATCTTAGTTGGAAAGTATCACTAACTTGCAATTACTCTTATCAATATAATTATTTTTATATATTATATACTGGGATACAATTTAGCTGCTACTAAGGGACCTATTAAAAGTCAGTTATGTAAAATCTACACGTTCAAAGACATATTTCCCCCTTTTATAAATGTCAGTCTGACACAGTGTGTGAGGGCCTCCAGGAATTACTCAAAACAGAGATACTGTGTCTAGTTAAAAACTATATGCTTATCCCAGTCCCTACATCCTTCTAAATGAAGTTTCGGTAAATATATTTCCACCATACTGCCACACGTGTCAATAAGTAATAGTGATAAAGCTGATATGATTAAATCCATCTGTTTTTTTTCTATAAATGATACAAGACATATGTCTTTGTAAACAACGAGCACATTTAGCAATTTCCTGAGACAGAATTGGGAAGCAAGTATGTAATTTATAGATGTGCATCCAAAGTTAAGATCATATTATAAGTTAAAGTAGGATAATATATCCAGGTTGGAGAAAATAAGTTTGAACCCACTGCAGTTTGGCAAAGACAATCTCTATTTGCAAATTGGAATGATCTGCTGCAGCTTTTTCTTTTATTGCTCTTAACTTCTGTTGCCATTACCCCTTGTTGCAAGAGTATGAATGAGTCTCTGATGAGTACAAATGCCATGCCCAACTACAGCTCTAGTTCAACTGCAGCCGAGTCAGCTGCAGATTCTGTAGGCCGTAATCAGCTAGACCAGTGGTGGTGAACCTATGGCATGCATGCCAGAGGCGGCACTCAGAGCCCTCTCTGTGGGCATGCACGCCGTCGCCCCAGCCCCGCCTCCCCCAATGGCCCCCTCCTCACCAGCAGCCCTCCTGGAGGAGAGTCACCCCCGGTTGTGGCCCATGTGGAGAAGCACAGCCAAGGTCATGGCAGCTGGGCAGCAGGTACAAGACTTCGCCCCCACGCCCCGCAGCATCATCTGCTGCGTGGCCGCCATGGTGCTGCAGGGCTGCCTGGGTGATCTGCCGCAGCAGGCCATGGAGGCAGTAGGTGGCTCTGTGGGGGGTGGGGTGGGGCAGAGTGGGTGGGACAGGAGGTGGGGTGGAGTAGGTGGGGCAGGGGGCAGAGCAGAGTGGGCGAGGCAGGGGTCAGAGTAGTTTTTGGGCACTCAGTGTCTAAAAGGTTCGCCATCACTGAGCTAGATCAAGGTGGGGAACTATGGCCCTTTTATGACCTGTGGACTTCCCCAAATTCTTCAGCCAGCATGGTTGGCTCAGGAATTCTGGGAGCTGAAGTCCACAAATCATAAAGGGGCGGTACTGTAGTTCCCCACCTCTGGTCTCGACTTTACTAAAGAGATTGGCCCCAGGTTGACTTTTATAGGCATACAACAATATTGCAGCTAAAGGGCTGCATGCTTTTCACTCTATTCCCACCACTAATCCCTCACATAATTCAAAATTTGCAGAAGATTTTTTTTATCAGTATCAGTTTTACCTAGCTAGAAATGCTGAGAACCACCAGAGAATACCATGACTTACTCCCTGAACTGCCAAATCTCCTTAAAGAATAAAAATGTATTCATTCGCATTCCATGCAAAAGAAAAAAAAAAGATACAACTAGTCCCCTCTCCTCCCATCCACGAATTCAGTGTGTGTGAATGCATGTGCCCTTGTGCCAGTGTTGACTCCTGGCAACTGTTTTGGATTAGCCACTGCAGATTTCTTGGTGAAGTTTTTTGGAAGTAGTTTGCCATTGTCCCTTTTCTAGGGCTGAGAGTGTGTGACTGGCTTTGTGCCTACAATATTTTTTCAGAATATATACAGGTAAAAGGAATACCTCTCTACATCTCTACTTAAGCTATTTTTGTGACAAATTACAATGCAGGGAAGGCTAGACAAATATTGGGTAAGATCCACCCAGAGTCAAGTAACTCTCCAGAAACTGGGACTTTATATCGTTCCATGAAAGAAATGGAGCATGAACAGCCTGAAATAAAGTCCAACACAGAACCTTCGTAACTGCACTTGGTTTTTCTGACTCCTTAAGCTTTATATTTCTTTTTTTTAAAAAAAGTTTTAAAAATATTTTCGTAACAATGCTATAAACCCACAAAGCCAATCCAAAGCAGTAAAGCGGGCGGGGGGGGGGAAACCTTGTCTGATTTAAACAGACTTTCACATAGACAATCAAAAGCAATGGAGAAGAAAATTGCATGTTAGAAGTTCTAATTTAGATCTGATGTAGAGTTTATAGAACACAGTAAATCAATAAATGAAATGATCTCTTTTGTCTGCCAAAATGAAAATCACCAGATACAAACAATCTGCCTTTGCATGCTTGTGCCTAACCTCATATAGGTTTTTTTTTAACTTATGCAACTTTAACCCTGTTTTTGCTTGTCCCTTGAGTCAACATACTCTGTCTTACACTTGTTCTCACATGTGTGCATACGCATATACAAATACAGAAATACTTTCTCTAGGAAGATAGTAGTAGTATTTTATGACAAGTCTAATCTCTCCCAAAATCTAAAATTTGCCACTTAGTGAATGGTCCAGACCTAGTGAATGTTCTATCAATGCAAAGTATATTTCCTTGATCTGGCACTGCCCAAATGGGCTACAGTACAATTTTCCTGACGCGCAAAGCTATACAGCCTGGTGATCAAGAAAGTGGCAAGTCAATGGTTCAATAAACTGTGGTGACCCGATGGTAACAATGTAGCATTGCAGGCTAACTCACTGCTCATTGCCAGCAGTTTGATTTTAACTGGCTCAAGATTGACTCAGCCTTCCATCTATCCAAGGTCAGTAAAATGAGAATCCAGATCATTGGGGACAATATGCTAACTCTATAAACCACTTAGAGAGGGATCTAAAAGCTCTATGAAGTGGTATATAAGTCTGAGTGCTATTGCTAATACATCTGGGCAGCCCCATATGAAAGCAGCCTCTTACTTCCTGGAATGCTGAGCTAGTCTTCAGGCCTTTCCCTGGGCATGTCTGCTCCTGTATTGTGAAGAGCTACAAACAAACAAATGTGCAGGCTCTTGGAAAATGGTAGGTCTGAACTCAAGATCTACTAGATACAGTGTTTCTCAACCTTGACAATTTTAAGGCATGTGGACTTCAACTCCCAGAATTCCACAGCCAGCAATGGGAATTCCACAGCCAAACCCAAAATGCAGAGCTTATTGGGTTTCCTGGATTAGGGGTTAAACTCAATAGTAGTGTCTTTCAACTGAGGCCTCAGAGTGGGCCCCTCTTTAATACGGATCATGAACTAGGATTCAACATAAAGACAAAACCTGATCTGAACAGACTAAACTGCGAAATTCTGAGAGATTGCATCTTTGAATCTGGACATCCCTAACTATTTCTATCCAATTGTCTAGTTGCAGTCCCATGTTGGCGCTTTTCAACTTAGCTTTCCTTGGTGTTTAGCAATGAGTTTAATCCTATTTTTCGGTTCCTGTTAGCCCTTCAAAGTGGACATCGTCAGGAAACATAGATATTAGAACTCTGTTGATATGGTCATAATAATGCAAAATATGGTTATAATATTGATGGGATTTGTCCTTCCCTCTCTCTTATACCAAAGAGAGTGAAGGCAGGGCAATCTTGAGTTCCTTTCCTGGCTAAATTTATGTTTTCATAACAGCTGCCACATATTTTCTTTTACTGTTCCTTGTATTTGCCCTTTCCACAAAACAGAGGCAAAACCATGCTTGGAAATAGCACAGGGAATGGATGAAAATCTTTCACTTGTATACCACATTTGCTAAAAGAAAATTTTGGGGTGGCTTCCCATAGTCCTGTGGTGGTGAACCTATGGCACATGAACCTATGGAACCTATGGCAGAGCCCTCTTTGTGGGCACGTGCGCCATCGCCCCA